TGAAACTCCCAATTTTTTAATACTAGTTTTCTTGATCTACTCAATATCTCTTGGCCTCTCCTTCACATTTTCTTTTTTTTTTTTAAAGATTTTATTTATTTATTCACAAGAGAGAGAGAGAGACAGACAGGCAGAGGGAGAAGCAGGTTCCAAGCAGGGAGCCTGATGTGGGATTCGATCTTGGATCCCAGGATCAGGCCCTGAGCCAAAGGCAGATGCTCAACCGCTGAGCCACTCAGGCATCCCTCTCCTTCACATTTTCTATTCCTTATCTCTCTATGCTGCAGTCTGGATAACTTCTGATTTTTCTCCCCACCTGTCTCTAATTTGCTGTTTTAACCTATCCATTGAATTTTTTTATTTTAAAAATTTTAAAGTTTATTATATACATTATTTATTTTTAAGATATTATTTATTTATTCATGAGAGACAGAGAGAGAGAGAGAGGCAGAGACACAGGCAGAGGGAGAAGCAGGCTCCATGAAGGGAGCCCCATGTGGGACTTGATCCTGGGTCTCCAGGATCATGCCCTGGGCTGAAGGTGGCGCTAAACCGCTGAGCCACCTGGGCTGCCTATACTTATATTTATACATATATACATGTCTATATCTATCTATCTATCTATCTATCTACACACACACACACACACACACACACATATTTTACTAATCTCTACACCCAGCATGGGACTTGAACTCACAACCTGGAGATCAAGAATTGCTCACTCTTGCAACTGAGCCAGCCAGGCACCCCTCCAATGTATTTTGCTTTTTGAGCAGTGTAAGGTCTATAGAAAAGTTGAGCGGAAAAAAGAGTGCCCATATAAGTCCTCACTTTTCCCACTCTAGGGGTTTGGTTTTCTCTACTATTAACATTTTGCATTAATTTTGGCACATTTGTTACAATTGATGAGCCAGTATTGATACATTATTATTAACTAAAGTCCCTGGTTTACATTAGGGTTCACCTTCTATGGATTTTGACAAATATATAATGAGATATATATATGAATTTGCTAGGGCTGCCATAACAAATTCTACAGACATGGTTAAACAAAAATTTATTTTCTCAGGTTCTAGAGGCTAGAAGTTCAAGGTCAGTGGTTGGCAGGATTGGTTTCTACGTGTCGATGGCTGTCTTCTTTTTGTGTCTTCACATGGTCTTCCCTTTATATGTGTCTATGTCCTAATCTCTTTTTAGAAGGACACCAGCTATAATGGATTAGGGCCCACACTAATGACCTCATTTCAATTTAATTATCTCTTTAAAGATCCTGTCTCCAAGTACAATCATATTCTGAGGTATTGTGGTTTAGGACTTCAGCCTATCAGTTTGGTGGGGTAGACACAGTTTAGCCTGTAATAACATATATCTGCCCTTACAGAATCATACAGAATAATTTCACTGCTATGAACATTCTGTGTTCCATCTACTCATCCGACCCTCCCTTATGAACCCCTGGCAACCACTGATCTTTTTACAATCTCAAACTTTTGCCTTTTCATGAGTGGTCATGTAGTTGGAATCATTTATTATGTAGCCTTTTCAGATTGGCATCATTCACTTTGAAATATGCATTTAAGGTTCCTCCATGTATTTTTGTGGCTTTATAGCTCATTTCTTTTTATCACTGAATATCCATTGATTTTTTTATTTCAGTAATTCAAAAAAACTTTTTTTTTATTTTTTAGAGAGAGAGAGAGAATGAAGTAGGGAGGGGGCAGAGGGAGAGGGAGAAAGAGAATCCTAGGCACAAGCCCAGCACAGAGCTTGATTTCATGATCCTGTGATCAAGACCTGAGCTGAAATCAAGAGTCAGACACTTAACCAACTGAGCCACTAATCACCCCAACAATTTTCTGAAAGTAGACTCCATGCCTAATGTGGGGTTTGAACTCACAACCTTGAGAACAAAGATGAAATGCTCTACTGACTTACCCAGCCAGGTACTCTTATATATTTTTAATTTCTAAAAGTCCTGCAAGTGCCTTTATAGATTTGCCTATTTATTTTGCATATTGCATTCCCATTTTTGTGATCCCCTGTGTTACTTCTTTAAACATTCATACATAGTTATTTTGTATACAATGGCTGATAATTTTAATACCTGAAATCCTCAGGGGTATAAATCTATCTGTTGCTTCTGCTGGATCTTACTTGTGGTAGCTTGTTTTCTTACATGTTTGGGGCTCTAGGATTGTAAACTCATAATTGTTGTTCATCTTTGGCTATTCTGGAGGCCTAAAGAGGGGAGTACTTTACTCCAGACAGGTTTGGTATTCAATTTGCCTAGAAACCTGGGGGTATTACCACTTTAATCTTTTTTGAGTTGGTTTAATATTGAGTCTCAGATTTATCTTCTCCATTTTGCTCTATTATAGTGAACATTTGCTTTCAGGTCAGCCTTCCCTTTTGCCTGTTGTTCACTATTCTTCATCTGGTTTTAGCTTACTTTGGATTTGTGTTTATTACTGTGAGCCCAGTGAGTATATTTTGAAAGTCCATTTTATCTAGGATTTTATTGTTTTGTAGGTGGATATCCCTCCAGACTGTCTAGTTAGGCATCTCACCAAAGCAGGGTTCAGTTGCCTGAGTTTAGGTATTGAAAGGTAGAATGATGGTGATCAGTCACATTAGGCACCTTCTAGTTGTTCCAGTTTCACTCTCACTTAATCATTGACTCTTCAGGATTAGACTTTGGGCACTTGGCAAATGACACATTTTCTCTTGGCTAGCAGCCCATGCTGTTGGGAATGAAAAGTGATGATGATTAGTTTGGACACTGCCTCCATGTGCTAATCTGAATGATCTGTTTATTCCCCTGTGGTAACAGTGATGAAAATTTTAATTTATTTCTGGGAAAGAAGGACCTGAAAAATAGTGTAATAACCGAGGGGTCATAAAATTGAAGTTTAAATCCCGGCTTGGCTATTTACCAGCAATGTGACCTGCTCCAGGTTGTGTAACTCCTCTGAGCCTTTGAAATCTCAGCTGTAAAGAAGAACAAACAAAGCTGCTATATACTGATCATTTATAAAGTGTTAAGCAGTTTGCTAAGTTAATAACTATAGTATTTCTTATGTAATATTCAGTAACAATCTTATGAGATGTAGCTATTATTTTACTTATTTTACTGATGAGAAAACAGAAGTATAGGGAAACATAAAAAGGGTTATTGTTCAAGCCAAATTTAAATGAGATAATGTGTAGTTAACATGAGCACATATAAGGTCACCAATAAATGACAGCATTATTATAATCACTCAACATTTTCCAGATATCAAATTAGGTCATTTACATGCTATGGCCTAAATAAGATACATTTACACAAAAAATATTTTATGGAGCACTTACTATGACCGTGTGTAGTGCTTAACGCTGGGGAAACAGGAGGAAATAAGACAGATATGATCTCAGCCCTTAGAGAATTCCCTTTAGAGTGAGGGAGACAGGCACATAAACATTTACAATTCAGCCTGGGAACTGCTGTGATGGGGCAAGAATGGGGTGCTTTGGGAGTCAGGGAAAAAAATTTTTTTAAGATTTTATTTATTTGGGAGAGACAGAGCAAGCGAGCCTGAGCAGGGGGAAGGCAGAGAAAGAAGCCGACTCTCTACTGAGCAAGGAGACCTATGTTGGGCTCAGTCCCAGGACCTTGAGATCATAACCTGAGCTGAAGTCAGATGCTTAACCAACTGATCCCACCCAGGTGCCCTGGGAGTAAGGGAGATTTACCAGAAGTAATGATGCGCTCTAGGTTTGTACTTGAAGAATGAATTGGAAGCAAGGGTGGAAGGAAAGACAGAGGAGGCGGCAAGCTTAAGGAAATGAAAGTAGTTTTTGTATCTGGGATTTTAGAAAAAGTGTGGACAGTAAGCCTGGGGAGATGGGCAGATGCCATATTCTGAAAGGCTGTGTAAGGCCTGCTATCAGAGTTTGACCTTTTTTTTTTAGATAATTGGAGAGCCTCTGAAAGGTTTTTACCCAGCAGAGATGTGATTTTAAAAGATCACTCTGGCAGAAGTGTGGGGAATGACTAGCTTTATTTATTTTTTAATATTTTATTTAGTCATGAGAGACACAGAGAGAGAGAGAGGCAGAGACCTAGGCAGAGGGAGAAGCAGACTCCCTGTGGGGACCCTGATGGCGGGACTCAATCCCAGGATCCTGGGATCACCACCTGAGCCAAAGGCAGACACTCAACCATTGAGCTGCCCAGATGTCCCAAGAGTAGCTTTAAATTCTTTTATGTCATTTAATCTTTACACCAACACTTGGAGGTAGTTATTATTATCTTGATTTTAAAGATGAAGAAATTGAGACTTGGAGAATTTACTGTATTCACACATTTAATAGGTAGTGGAGTCACTTACCCATATATGTCTGACCCTAAATCTATGTTGCTGTATTGTCCTCAACTAGTAATGATTTGCATGACCTAATTTATGTTTACTCTGTAGAAAATTCTCATTCATTCTTATAGTATTATTTGCATACTCGGTGTTAGTTTACAAAGCATTTCACAGCCATTATTTAATCTCCTTAAAAACTATGAATTAGGTGATGTTATCTCTGTTTTATAGATATAAAAGAAAACTGAGGTTGACCTTTAGTTGAATGGTCCTATACACCTAGAAAGTTGTGGAGCTGTGACTTGAACACCATGCTCTTGACAGAGGAAAGCTTTTTTATGGATATCTTGTGAACATGCCACGTTTCTTTTTGAGTCTTTGCTCGTTGTTCATGGGTGAATGTTTATAAGGCTCTTTTCTTCCAGGTTTTGGAGATCACATTCATTGGAGGACACTAGAAGATGGGAAGAAGGAAGCAGCTGCCAGGTACAAGATACGGTTTTAAGTTACTTATAGTGGAAGGGGTAGCTGGCTGGCACAGTCAGGTAGAGCATGCAATTCTTTTTTTTTTTTTTTTTTTTTAAGATTTTATTTACTTATTCATGAGAGACACACACAGAGAGAGGCAGAGACATAGGTAGAGGGAAAAGCAGGCTCCGTGCGGGGAGCCCGATGTGGGACTCAATCCCAGGACTCCAGGATCACGGCCTGGGCCAAAGGCAGCCTCTCAACCGCTGAGCCACCCAGGCATCCCAGAGCATGCAGTTCTTAATCTCAGTGTTGTGAGTTCAACCCCATGTTGGACCTAGAGATTTAAAAAAATACATTCAATAGGTTATTTATGCTAGTGAAACACTTTCCAGCCACCAGCTTAACATTAATTTCACATGAAAAGTTATGCCAGAGCCAGAACTGAGTAGTTGCCTGATGATAACAAAAAATACTACTACTAAGTGCTTATTATGCACCAGACATTGAATAATTTGAATTAATTTATTTAATTCTCATAACTCTTTTGAGGTGGGTACTGCTGTTACCTTCATTTTAGAGATGAGAAAACTTAAGGCACAGAGCAGTTAAGTAACTTGCTTAAGATCACACAGCTAGTATGTGGTGGAGCCAAGATTCAAACCTAGGCACTTTGGCTTCGGAGCCTGCACTCAACCAGTAACCCACACTGCCTAACAGTCTCAAGGTGAATAGTGTTAAGTTTCAGTTAGGTTTAGCCTATGCACTGATGCACATAGGTGATGCAAAGGAGGAAGAAAAGGCAGGGCAGGGGAGGGAAGGCTAACCACAGATCTAAGTGCTTTACATGCATTCATTTATTTAATCCTTATAACCTATGGGGTTGGTTCAGCCTGTGGAATAAGAACTGTTACTATTTTACACAAGAGGAAAATGAGACACTGATGATTAAATAACTTGTCAATAGATTATACAGCTAGTAAGTGACACAACCAATACTTGAATGTTTTATACTATACTGTACTGGAGAGATACAAAGACCCAGTATATGTGCATCTACTTTATATATACACATCCTTGCACAGCAGCACACTTCTGCACCTGCAAAATTACAGTTGACTTTCGTAGTGATCTCTCCTTTCTCATTCATGATTTTATTAATTTGAGTCTTCTCTCTCTTCTTTTTAATAAGGTTGGCTAATGGTTTATCTATCTTATTAATTCTTTCAAAGAACCAACTCCTGGTTCTATTGATCTGTTCCACAGTTCTTCTGGTCTCAATTTCGTTGAGTTCTGCTCGAATTTTAATTAACTCTTCTTCTGCTGGGCGTCGGGTCGATTTGCTGCTTCTTCTCTAGCTCCTTTATGTGTAAGGTTAGCTTTTGTATTTGAGTTCTTTCCAGTTTTTGAATGGATGCTTGTATTGCGATGTATTTCCCCCTCAGGACTGCTTTTGCTGTATCCCAAAGATTTTGAACAGTTGTATCTTCATTCTCATTAGTTTCCATGTACAGTTGACTTTCGAATAGTGCTAGGGGCAGTTAGGGATGCTCAAAATCTGCATGTAACTTTTGCCACACGCTCAAAATCTGCATGTAACTTTTGAGTCCCCCCAAAACCGAAAACCGGTAACATAAACAGTCAATTAACACATATTTTGTATGTTATATGTATTACATACTGTATTCCTACAACAGAGTAAGCTAAAGGAAATCATAAGGAAGAGAAAATACATTTATGGTACTGTAAAAAAAATCTGCATAATAAGTGTACCTGTGCAATCCAAACCCTTGTTTTTCAACTGCATAATGCTTGCTTTGGCTAGAACAGATCCTACAGCTTCATGGCACAAGGCTCACACATTCTGTAGAGCAGGGTTACCAGATTTAACAAATAAAAATAAGGACCCCCAGTTAAATTTGAATTTTGGGTAAACAAGGAGTAATTTTAAATATGCCCCATTCAATATCTGAGAAATAGTAAAAACATTTTTTGTTGCTTATCTGAAATTCAAATTTAACTAGGCATCCTGTATTTAATCAGGCAGCCTTACCAAGGAGAAACAAAAAAATAGGTTTGAAGTTCTAAAGCAAATGACTACTCCTACATAAAGTCTTAAGTGAGTTTTGGGGGCACTTTGTTTTTCTCTCCCATACCTTTACATCCCAACCTACTCTATCCGTTGTAGGATGTCTGACTCTCCTTGTAGGTGCTTGATTTTTCCCGTTCAGACCGTTAACCTCCTTCGCGGGAACTGCCTGGTGTTCATTTCCGAATTCCCAATCGTGGAGAGGTTGAGTGATTGAAATGGTTATGGAGTTAACCGTTTCTGAGAGTCACTGGGTGTAAGGAATGGACGGAAACTAGCATTTGTCCCCGGTCCTGTGCTGAATATGGTGCAGACTGTCTTGCAGTGTTTAAGCTCCTTCAGGCCACATTATGGATAATGGCCGGACGTCGCCTTTGGCCACAGAGGGTTCCCATCCTTTCGAGGCCTCTTGACATAACTAACCCGTCGTTCTAGTTTCCATCACCTTCCTGAGCGAGCAGGTCCTGGGTCTCCTCGGAGCGAACTCGTGTTGCCATAGCAACAGCAGGTCCCGTGGGACTCCGGTGGGGTCGGAAGTGCGTGACCTTCCGGTTTGCGTCGGAGACGTCGGCCGCCCGGAAGTGACGCTCGGTGGCCGCGCATGGCCGCGCCCCGTCGGGATGCCGCTCGTGGTGTTGTGCGGGCTGCCGTACAGCGGCAGGAGCCGGCGCGCCGAGGAGCTGCGCGGGGCGCTGGCGGCCGAGGGCCGCGCGGTGTGCGTGGTGGACGACGCGGCGGTGCTGGGCGCGGAGGACGCGACCGTGTACGGCGACTCCGCCCGGGAGAAGGCGCTGCGCGGCGCCCTGCGAGCGGCGGTGGAGCGGCGCCTGAGCCGCCGCGACGTGGTCATCCTGGACTCGCTTAACTACATCAAGGGCTTCCGCTACGAGCTCTACTGCCTCGCGCGGGCGGCGCGCACCCCACTCTGCTTGGTGTATTGCGTGCGGCCGGGCAGTGTGAGCGCGGGGCCTCGGGCGGCGGCGGACCCTGGCCGGAATGGCGGTGCGGGTCAGAGGCCGCGCGCTGAGGACGGAGGGAGACCCCTGGCGGCGGGCGCCGCGGTCCGCAGGGAGCCCTGGGCCGCCGAGCCTCAGGAAGCGGAGCAGGAGACCGCGGCGCCCGCTCTCCCGGCTTTTGGGACTCCAGAATTCGAAGAATCTGCAAAGCTCGGGTCCAGTGCGTCTTACCCCCCCGAGCTTATGGAAGCCCTGACGGTGCGCTTTGAGGCTCCAGACTCTCGGAACCGCTGGGACCGACCGCTGTTCACCTTGGTAGGCTTAGAGGCGCCGTTGCCCCTGGCCGAGATTCGGGCTGCCTTGTTTGAGAACCAGGCCCCCCCGCCCCATCAGTCTACACAGTCCCAGCCCCTTGCCTCCGGCAGCTTTTTGCACCAGTTGGATCAGGTCACGAGCCAGGTGTTGGCGGGACTGATGGAAGCGCAGAAGAGCGCGGTCCCTGGAGACCTGCTTAAGCTTCCTGGCACCACGGAGCACCTGCGGTTTACCCGGCCTTTGACCATGGCAGAACTGAGTCGCCTCCGCCGCCAGTTTATTTCCTACACCAAGATGCATCCTAACAATGAGAACCTGCCTCAGCTGGCCAACATGTTTCTGCAGTATCTGAGCCAGAGCCTGCACTAGGGGCGGGGGGGGGGGGGGCTCCTCGTCTAATCTCCACTTCCCTAAGTTTCTTGATCGACTAATTTCAGTGTCTGCAGGGCATGTTGATGTGTGGTGGCAGAGCTGCTGTGATTGATTTACTCACGCTTTCCTCTGTGGTAGGCCTTGTGTTTACAGCATAGATTGAAACTAAAGAAAAGAGAACTGGCTCGGAGGATCTTGGCAAATTTCTCCAGGGGACAGTCAGGTGGACAGAGTTTGTTTAGATTGGGTTCTACTTGACATATCAGACATGAATTTTCCCCATCTGAACTGTGGGAGCGCAGACTGGATGGATGAGTTGTCTTAAAACAGTTATGAACAAAACCTCAAGATGGCTCAGGTCTGCATCTGCACTGGCCTTTCTTTCACATAATTTTTTGAGTACTCTGCCTACTTTTTGCTAATCTGTCCCAGAGCCAAAGGTCACAGATATATCCACGGGTTTCTGTGCTTGGGAAGCTTTGGTTTTAGTGGAAGTGAAAGATAACTACTATTTTATCTAATAAAATCTTTTAGGAGAAGAAAGTTGGCTGGAATCTTTTTCACTTAATATAACTTAATGTTATTCATGTAATTTACTTAATATATGTGTATCTAAATGTTACATCACTATTATGCCTTTGACCAAAGTAGTGCTTTGGCAGTGCTTAGTGAGAGACTATATATTTTGCTCTAACTTAGCGCAATTAACACTTCTATAACAGTTGTGCTTCATTCTGTATTTCAAGGCAAGTATCACCATAAGCTTCTTTAATTCTTTCATTGATTTCCTTAAATGGTGGGTACCTACCTTACCAGTACTTGTGATTTTCTTTTTTTTTTTTTTTTTAATTTCTTTTTATTGGAGTTCAATTTGCCAACATATAGCATAACACCCAGTGCTCATCCCATCAAATGCCCCCCTCAGTGCCCGTCACCCAGTCACCCCAACCCCCGCCCATCTCCCTTTCTACCACCCCATCCCAGAATTAGGAGTCTCTCGTGTTCTGTCTCCCTCACTGTTATTTCCCACTCATTTTCTCTCCTTTCCCCTTTATTCCCTTTCACTATTTTTTATATTCCCCAAATGAATGAGACCATATAATGTTTGTCTTTCTCTGATTGACTTATTTCACTCAGCATAATATCCTCCAGGTCCATCCATGTCAAAGCAAATGGTGGGTATTCGTCATTTCTAATGGCTAATATTCCATTGTATACATAGACCACATCTTCTTTATCCATTCATCTTTCAATGGACACCGAGGCTCCTTCCACAGTTTGGCTGTTGTGGACATTGCTGCTATAAACATTGGGGTGCAGGTGTCCCGGTATTTCACTGCATCTGTATCTTTGGGGTAAATCCCCAGCAAGCACTTGTGATTTCCAAAGATAAATTAGAGGTAGTCTTTGCCCATGAGAACTAATAGTTTGGTGAAAAATACACACATGTAGACATGATTATGGGATGAAAAGGGCTGGTGGTTGCAGGATGAAGACAGAATGCTTTGGAAACCCAGAGGAGGAAAGGACTAATTAGCTGTTTGAGAGAAGGTCGTTTTGGGAAAGCTTCACAGAGGGTGAACATTTGAACTGTCACTCAAACGGGTCAGCAAAGGGTCAAATAGTAAATATTTTAGGTTTTGTAGGCCATAAGGTCTCTGTTGCAGCTTATTAACTGTAGCACATTGTAGCACAAGAGCAGCCATATACAGTAAGTATGCAACAGTGTATTTTAATACTACACTGAAAGGTAAAGTATGTTTAATCTTAACATACCACAAGGTACTATTTTTTAATTTGTTTTTCAACCATTTAAAAATGAAAAGGAATTTGTATTTTACAGCTCTACAGAAGCAGGTAGTATGTTGAATCAGGTCTACAGACACTAGTTTGCTGATGTCTGCTCTAGAAGGATAAATAGAAGTTTGCTTGGGAGAGAGGAGGGAGCAAGGCATTCTAAACTGCTCTGTAAGTGCATGGAGCTATTAAAAGGATGGGCTGCCTTGGTTGGTGATGTGTTTCTTCAGGCAGTCTGGACCACCCTTTGTTATATGAAATATATTGGATATATTATAATTATATATAACGTATTAGATGATACATTATAATTCCGGAATGAAATGGAGGCTTGGACTAGGCAGCTTGTAAGGCCTTTTCCAACCTCTTATCTGATTTAAAGTTAGTTAATTAATGATTGTGGATTGCCATCCTAAAATGAAGTAGACAGTAACAGAAAGAGCATTGGTTTTGGTGTCAGACTTCATGAATTAGTAAGTGGCAGAACCTAGGTTTTTTGGGGCCATATATTTAATCTCTTAGGAGTCTTAGTCTTAATTTTCTCATTTCTATTTGAGAACAGTAATAGTATATAACTTAGGATTGTTGTGAGGATTTATTTATTTTAAAAGATTTGTTTATCTGAGAGAGAACACAAGCAGGGGAAGGGGCAGAGGGAGAAGGAGAAACAAGACCCTCTGCTGAGCAAGGAGCCAGTAGTCCCAGGGCTTGACCCCAGGACTGTGAGATCATGACCTGAAACAAAGTCTGATGCTTAACTGACTGAGCCACCAGGCGCCCCTGTAGTGAGGATTTTTTTTTTTCTAAGATTTTATTTATTCATGAGAGACCCAGAGAGAGGCAGAGACAACAGGTAGAGGGAGAAACAGGCTCCATGCAGGGAGCACGACATGGGACTCGATCCTGGGGCTCCAAGATCAGGCCCCGGGCTGAAGGCAGCTTTAAACCACTGAGCCACCTGGGCTGCCCTGTAGTGAGGATTTAAATGATACAATGCATGTAAAGTACATAGTGCAATGTATAATACATGGTTAGATTTTGGCTATTATTACTGTGATTACTTAGATCCCACTTCTCACGTAAGTTTGCCTTGTTTGGTTTATAAGCTTTTACAAGTATTAGAGGCACAAATCCATCCCAGATTTGTAGTAGGTCTCTAATGAAGTAGGTAGTAGGTCTCTAATGAAGTAGCTGAATAATTTGACAGTTACTAAATTAATTATGTATATTTGGAATAGTGCCTGCTACATAGTAAATGCTACGTAAGTGTTTGTTATCAGTAATATTCTATGTGCCAGATGTTAAGGCATGTGGAAAGAGCTAAGTTCTTAACCTTAGGAAACCCCAAGTCTGGGGGCTCCTGGGTGGCTCAGTTAAGTTTCTGACTCTAGGTTTCAGCTCAGGTCATTATCTCAGGGTCCTGAGCTCAAGCCCCATTGAGTTCAGCCTCAGTGTGGAGCCTGCTTAAGATTCTCCCTGCTCCTTCTATACCCGCTCCTTCCCGCCACATGTTTGTGCTCTCTCCTAAATAAATAAATAGATCTTTAAAAACAAAAAAAGAGGGATGCTTCGGTGTCTCAGTTGGTTAAGCATCTGCTTAGGGCTCAAGTCGTGATCTCTGGGTCCTGGGATCAAGCCCTGCTTTGGGCTCCCTGCTCAGCAGGGAGTCTGGTTTTCTCTCCCCCCCCCCCACCTTTTTCTTTTTCTTTCCTTTTTTTTTTTAAAGATTTTATTTATTTATTCATTCATTCATTCATTCATGAGAGACTCAGAGAGAGAGAGGCAGAGACACAAGCAGGCTCCATGCAGGGAGCCTGACGTGGGACTCGATACGGGGTCTCCAGGATCAGGCCCTGGGCTGAAGGCGGCCCTAAACCGCTGAGCCACCCGGGCTGCCCTACCCCACCCTTTATCTCTCCCTTTTTCTCTCCCTCTCTCTCTCTCCCTTCTCTCTCTCTACATCTTCCCCAACTTGTGCTCTCTCACACTCTCTCTCAAATAAATAAAAAATCTTAAAAAAAAAAAAAAAGGCTTTCAGGGAGACAGGGAAGTAATAGAGTTCAAGGCAGTAAATGCATCGATTGTATTCTACAGTGTATGGTGGTCTGGTGATGCAGGGGTTGGATAATGAAGAAAGCCCCTGGCTGCTTCCATACTGCTCTCCTACAAGTTGGCATTTGAGCCTTGACAACATAAGAGCTTCATCTGGCCAAGACTGGTTCAGGTGGATTGTGTTGCTTATCATTTAAAAAAGAAAAAGATTTATAGATCTTTTGATTATAAAAATTACATTTAATTATAGAAAATACAGAAAAAGTGTAAAATCCACAATCCCATTACCTAGGAAAAACTGCTATTATATTTTGGTACATTTCTGTCATTTCCTTTTAGGCTCTTTTCCTCTGTATATAGTTGTAATTTTAATCCAAACTACAGATGATAATTTTATATTCTGGTTTGGTTTATTTATTTATTCATTCATTCATTTAAGATTTTTATTCGTGAGAGACACAGGGGGAGAGAGAGAGAGAAAGAGGGGTGGGGTGGGGCAGAAACATAGGCAGAGGAAGCAGGGAGCCTGCTGCGGGACCTGGACTCAATCCCAGGACTCCAGGAACACGCCCTGGGCCAAAGGCAGGTGCTACACTGCTGAGCTACCCAGGCATCCCTGTTTTTTGTTGTTTTTTTTAAAGTAAGCTCTATGCCCAACGTGGGCTTGAACTCATGACTCTGTATCAGGAGTCACATGCTATACTGACTGAGTCAGCCAGGCACCCCATTCTAGTTTTTAATTTGATATAACTGAAAAATTTTACTAACATTTTCAATGATTACATAACCATATTTAGAAATACTGTAATTTGACGTTTTCTTCTCTTCTACAGTCTCCCTAGCTTTAGGCCCGAATTTGCAGAATTTACAGGAATGTCAGAACTTACCAATAGTTTTATTACAATAATCTATATTGAATATTTAGGTTGCCGAAATTTTTTTTTAATCTAAATCATACTAATAAACGTCTTTGTACATTAACCTTGTCTTTATTAGGTGGTCATTAGGATAGACATAAAGAAATGGAATTACTAGATTGTAATTTTTTTGTTATCTTTTTAAGTGGCTTACCTCTGATGGTGATTATCCATAAGTCCTGGTGTGGAGCTTGCAAAGGTAAGTGCAAATAATCAAACTTCAAATGTGTTCTTTTTTTTTTTTTAATTTTATTTATTTATTCATGAGAGACACAGAGCGAGAGAGAGAGGCAGAGACACAGACAGAGGGAGAAGCTGGCCCCATGCAGGGAGCCCGACGTGGGACTCGATCCCAGGATTCCAGGATCACACCCTGGGCTGCAGGCGGCACTAAACCGCTGGCCCACCCAGGCTGCCCTCAAATGTGTTCTTAAATAGTAACACTTTAAAAATACTAGCACAGATTTTATCCTAGCACTGCTGATTGCTTTAAGGAATACCAAAGAAATATATGACATAGATTCCTTTCCCTCAAGAAGTTTGCAGTTATCTTTGCAAGGGGTTGGAGGGTAAAGCAATTGAGATATGATGAGGGAGAGTATGGGATTAGAGCTACAGTAGTCAATGGAGAGTAGATATAGGAAACTGAAATAGAGACATAAGAAGTGATTAGGGAAGTCTTCCTGGAGGAAGTGGGAACAAAATTACAACCCACCTTTATTTGTGGTCTGTGTTCTTTCTGCTGTGCCACCTTGCTGCTTTCCAGGCTTTTTTTTTTTTTTTTCCTTTATTTGGTATGCTGTACTTAACAAAATCCTAGTTGGAAAAGGAGCATAAAATTAATGTAAATAGCGTAATTATATGTATATGTGGAAATGTTACTCTGTTGTCTATTACTTCAATAGAAGTTATTGAAATGTGGCTATAAAAAGCAAATAGAAATTCGTATGCCATTATTCTATATTTATGATAAAAGCTTCAGAGAAATGAAGTCAGTCACTCCAGGTCACATACCTATGTTTGTAAGTGGCAGAAGCATGACCAGAATTCAGGTGTCCTGATTTCTGGTTCTTAGGGGTTTTTTAAAAATAAAAAAAAGGTCCAGTTATTTGAATCAACTCAGCAAATTTGGGTTTGGATATGACAATGATGTTTTCTTCTATTCCAAAATCTTTTTCCCTCTAGCTTTAAAGCCCAAATTTGCAGAATCTACAGAAATTTCAGAACTTTCCCATAATTTTGTTATGGTGAATCTTGAGGTAAGACTTTGAGAGTTTCTCCTTATTGCTATGATTTTAAGTCTTTGCGGTTTTAAAATTATCATCATTAGTGGTGTAAAATCATATTCAGCGGATCTGGCTTCGTTATGAGAGCGTTTTCCTCTTGAACTCTAATACTAAGTCTTGTGTCAGTGTAGAAAGCCATCCAGCCTCCATTTGTTGGAGGAAGAAGAGAGAAATTGGATAAGATGACTAAATTTTAAGGTTCCTTCGATCTTAGTCTATGATTATGACATGTTTTACATCTTTGTGTGGCTAAACTAAAGGTATAGTAGTAACACATGCAGGACACAGAACCCTGCAAAATGTGATGCAGCTGAGCCCCTTCTCTGTGCTGGGCTTGTATGTAAAACCTTTCTGTTTCATGAACTATCCTTTATGTACTTGACATAGATTACAGGTTTTGTAATCTCAAGTCAGAATATCAGATTTTAGAAGGGATTTTTCGGCCATTGGTAATAGCCATTTTTCAGAAAGAGCATCTTGGGACCGAAGGAATGAGTTGATTTAGTCAAGATCGTAGAGCTGAGTGATAAGAATAGGTACTATGACCTAGCTATGCTTCCTTTTAGGCTGTACTCTTCAAATGAGGGATGTTTTGATGCTCTATGATGCAACTACTAGCCCTGAGTTTCTATAAAGATAATATTTACTTACACATAGGACTGGAAGTCTTTTGAGCATGTTAATGGGGAATGTTGAGGCGGCTAAGAGATTGCTTATGTAACTAGTGGATAGCCTGAATGCTGACACACCTCACTCAAGGCAAAATTATATTACAGGTTGAAGAAATCCCATTTAACTCCTAAATGGGATCCACACCAAGAATGACAAAATTACTATTTATTTCTTATGCATATGAACTAAGTTCATATGCATCACTTTCTAAGTTAGAATCACCACTCAGAGGAAACAGAAATGCCTTCAGTGAGCATACTCCAAATTCAGAGATTTTAAAAGAAAGCTAATTATGTGGTCATATCTCCTGGGAGGACTGTAACTCCATAATTATAGCTAAAATGTTAGTCTCATTTAGCTGTGTGCAAGAAATACTTGTGTAAGTCAGTGATGTCGATATTGGGAATCCGCAATGGAAAAACAGACAAAATTCCTTGTACTCACTGAAATTACATATGGGAAATTGAATATGGGGAGATAGACTAGTTAAAATATGTCAGATGGTGGCTAAAAGTGAAGGGTGGAAGGGATACTTTGCAATTTTAAGTAGACGGTTGAAAAGAAGGTGACATTTGAACAAAGATTTGAAACCAAAAAGGGAGTGAGGTACGTGGATAATGGGAGAAGTATGTCCTGGCAGGGGAAACAGCAAGTACAAAGGCCTAAGTGAGGTGCATGCCTGGCTTGTTTAATGACAAAACAGCAAGCAAGTTAGTGTGTTTGAAAAAGACTGAACAAGAGGTAGGACATAAAGTTAGAGAGGTGCCCAGGTAGCAGATTACATAGGGCCTCTTAGGCTACTGCAGGGACTTGGGGTTTTACCCTGAGAGAGAGGGGAAGCCACTAAAAGGTTTTTGTTTAAAGTTTTATTTATCTGAGAAAGAGCAAGGTGGAGGGGCAGAGGGAGATAGAGTCTTAAGCAGACTCTGCACTGAGCGTGGAGCCTGACCCAGGGCTTGATCTCCTAACCCCGAGATCACAACCTGATCCAAAACCAAGAGTTGTAGGTTCAACCGACTGCCCCATCCAGGCACCCCACCACCTAAAGGTTTTGAAGAGAGAGGACATGACCTGACTTAAGGTTTACACTTAATAGGATGAAGAGGAGCCGAAGGATGAAGATTTCAGCCCTGATGGGGGTTACATTCCACGAATCCTTTTTTTGGGTAAGGTAAAAGATCTTAATCTGGGGATCTGTGATGTGGAAGGAGAGATAAAGGAGTGAAGAAGGCACTGATTCCATATAGTGAAACTATGCAAGGATGGCTAAAAACAAAAACAACCAGTTTCTGGAAAGTGGGGGAGTTCTGAATGCCAGAACTTCAAACCTGAAGGAAAATTTTTTCCATTAACTGTCTTTGTGATCAGTGACAGAGTACTGGAATCATCCATTATTCATCTGTGTATTAGCTGTATGTCAAGCACTGGGCTCTACACTAGGCGGCTCTACAGGGACAGAGATAAGCCACAGTTCCTACCCTTGACCTCATCCAAGAGGTGGAGTACTATAACCAGACAAATATCTTTCCACAAACAACGTATAAAAGATGTTAATTTGTTTTTTTTTTAAGATTTTTAATTTATTTATTCATGAGAGAGAGGCAGAGACACAGGCAGAGGGAGAAGCAGGCTCATGCCGGGAGCCCGATGTGGGACTCAGTCCCGGGACTCCAGGATCACGCCCTGGGCCAAAGGCGGGCGCTAAACCACTAAGTCACCCAGGGATCCCCAAAAGATGTTAAATTTAATGACCATCTAATGTTTCCTCAGCATCCTGCTGGGTTCTGTGTGTGTGTGGGGGAGACAAATAGAAATATAGCATCCTACCATTATCAAGAAGAAAGGGAACGTGCCAGTAAGAGAGAACAGCATATGTGAAGGCACGGGAGACTTGAGTTCAGGGAGCTGCAAGGAATTCACTGTGATTATAGCATAAAACACAGGGGTAGAGTGGTGAGCTAATGGGCTGCGAAGTGGGGAGGTCTCATTTCCTAGCAGGCCTAATGTACTATATAGCATTTGAAATACCTCTCTAATTACTATAATCGTTGTGCCATTTTGTCCACAATAGATCCCAGTGGCAAGGTGCATCCTGAAATCATCAATGAGAATGGAAACCCCAGCTACAAGTATTTCTATGTCAGTGCTGAGCAAGGTATGGCTACGTAGAGAGAGAGAGAGGAGGGAGACTTGCTGCTAAATTTAACTAGGATGAACCCCATGCAGTGTCTGTGGGAGGAGGCTGGATTCCACGCGTGAGCTGAGCATCCCCAGCAAGAACAGCTTTTGGCTAGAATCTTTGTGGAACAGAGGAGAAAGATGAGACTGAGCCCCTTCCCTCGCTGCTTACAGTGCAGTGTGGCGCTAACTGAACCACAGGAAACTGAAGAACTGAGGCTCATGGAGATAGTCACTTGCCTGTGGTCTCAAAATTAAGTTGCAGAGCCGGAATTTCTGTCCAGAACTTAAGTTTTTTTCCTACTGTGCTAACGCTACTCTTCCTAAAGAATGCAAAGGAGCTGATCAAGTCTAAAAGGTATCATGATAGTAAGCTTTAACTGGACCTAAGAAGGCTAAGAATTTGTCTTATGAGGGTGGG